AACGGAAAATCAATTAACAAAGAAAAACACATTTCCCTTTAGTCAGGGCTCGGGAAAATTAACACGGCAACTCGGGCCCCCGGGGCCCCCCGCCGATCTGTCCCAGCGAATGCAAGCGGGGGGTGCAGTCAGCCCGCGTAGTAAGGATGCGGGACAAGGATACAAGGGCCTCGGGCTCTCATTTCGACGCTGTTCGCACGGGGCGCGGCCGACGAAAGTGGCCAAGGATGGGCAGAGGAGGCAGGGGTGCAAGGGTGCCCTTAGGAAGGTTACCCATCCTTACTATGCGGGTTGACTGTATGAAAACATAATGTTTGCTTGCGTGTCCCGTCGTGCTCCAGACGCCCTCGCGGACTCCGAACCCCCCCATCGGGTAGCAGGGGCCATCCACTATTGGCCAAACGGAAGGTGACTCCAGCCTAGGATGCATGCTAACCACGCTCGGGGAGGCAGCGCGCCATGAATGGGGCTCGGGAAAGGCCGCGACTGGCCACGTGACTTCCCCACCCGGACACGCAACCAAGACAAATATGAAGAAGCGATAACACATGGCCAACGCGACGGCGAAAACAACATTCCGATGCCATTCCGACACGTTGGCCCCCGCCAGCGTGGAACGCAAATTCCCCGCTGCAATGTCCTGGCGGAAAACCGCGGACAGCGCATGCAGTGCTGGTGGAAGAGTTCGGGCGCCGAGCGCATGCAGCACCGCGGGGCCCCTGACGAAGACGCCGCAATGAGCGCGGCCACGAGGCGAGCGGGGAACCCACGTTCAAACATGTCTTCTCGAACTGAAGGCTCGCGGAATTTGCCGTGCCCTCGACGTGGCATTGATAGCTGGCGCGGTTCGGTCTGGCACCGGCCGAGGACTCGGCGGCTGGGCGGGCGCGCGAAGACCCCGAATGGGGGGGGGGGACTGGGGGGGGGATGGATAATGACGCGACCCAGATGGCCAGCGCGGCGTCGAGAGCGCCGCTCCGATCTGGCCACGTGCCCGGGCGGCAACCGTTACGCCCAGCCAGCGACCCGCAACCCGCCGACTGCGCCCGCGATCCGCGCTCGCGACCTTCGACGCGACCTGCGCCCGCGACCCAAGATCGCGACCCGACCGTCGGCGCGCGCCAGTAGCGCGCGCGCGATTCGCGCGCGCAAGTCGCCCGCGACCTGCCACTGGGCCCTGCGGTCCATCTGGAGTACAGCCATAGCACAACCTGTTGAAGCTGAGCTCCTGGTGCGAATTGCGCGACGCGGGTGCCGACGTCCACGGTCTGCGCGGGGCCAATCGGAGATGGGCCGATCAACGCTACGCAGGGCTGCGCTGTACACGACTAGGTTGCGACTGGAGTCCCGGCTGGGCTGAGCTGGTCTGGACTAGACTCACATGTTTGAGATCAAGTGGGCTAATATGACTGAGCGCAATTTGGCTTCGACCAGGGCGTTGGGCGACCCTTTTGCGGGCTCTCTGCTGACGCGCAGTTAACATGCAGTGGACACACAGTGGACTCACACCGAGCACGACAGTGGACGGGGCAGTGAACGCGCACCAAAAAAGTGAATAATGCGATTCGAAAAATATACAAACAATCAAAAATATTACGACTGGAGAATATTACTCTAACTGTTTCGTACCGAACCCTCATGAATTACAACACTTGCTGCGTGTTCCTGTCATGTTCAGTGCCGTGTTCACTATGCGTTCACTGCGTTCACTGCGCGTTCACTGCGCGCCCACTGCGCCCCCCGGCAAGGCCCGCGCGCGCGAGCTCCAGGCGCGGCCCTGGGCAGCCCGCCAAGTCCAACCATGGTTTTCTGCTGGTCGACGCAACGCTGGAAACCAGGCCCTGAGAAGCCACTCCGTAAATCGGACGCAGTGGGCGCTGGGTGCGGGCGCAACCGCTGGCGCGAAAACTATTCGGCCTGGCTCGCGCCGCCGCAGGGCCTCTCACTGGTCGCCCCCCTCGCCAACCCCCTCGAAGAAGCGGCCCTTCGCCCCGGGGAGCCGCCGGCAGCGGCGGCGCATGTCCCCGATGCTCTTCAGGATGATCTCTTTCGGTAGGTTCTTGGCCGCCCGCCTGAGGCGCGCCTTGTGCGCCTCGCGCTCCTCGGAAGGCAAATTGTCCTCCCGCTTGCGGGGGCGCCTGTTGACCTCCTTCCACGCCGCGTAATCGAGCACATTCAAATCCGGACTGCGCCCTGGGATAGCGAAGACTTCGATCTTGGACGCCTTCTCGGCATCTTCGCCCTTGGTGGACTTGCACCCCGTAGGGTCGTTGTCCTCGAGCACTGCGCGCTTGCGCTTCTGCGCGCGCTCTGCGCTCGGCGCCTTCCTGAGGGGGCCCGAACGCACGTCTGCGGCCGCCTGGCCGCTCCAGCGGCCCGTCGGCACCGCGTGCCACATCAGCGCCTTGCCGGCGCCCGCGGCGGCGATGACCAGCAGGTTCTGGGTTATTCTTCTTGCCCGTCTTCAAAGACTGCGTCGGCTTTACGTAGCCCGCGGCCAATCCCTTCCCGGGGGCCCGGGACGCGCCAAAGGTGGCGTGCTGTACAGCGCGCGCCCTCTGGGCGTGGTCCTGGTCGAGGTAGACCCGCAAGCACTTCCAATCAACGGAAGCGCGGGCGTGGGAGACCCACCGTGCCACAAACTTCTCGTGGCACGTCTTGGCGAACGCCAGGCGGGCCTTGATGTCGTCGACCGTGAACGCGGGCTTCTCCTAGAGCTTTTGGAAACGGAGGTTGCGCTTGTGCAAAGCCTTCAGAATGGACCGTTCCGACGCCTGCGAGGAACCCCAGGGAGAAGGCAGGGGCGCTCAGACGGCGGGCGCTTACAGTGGCAGCCAGTACCGCCACGAAAAGCCCGCCACCCCTCCCAGGGGCGCGGAGTCACTCACGGGGCCCCGGAAACCCGGAAGGGCGCGGACGACGCCCGAGTTCGGAGCGCCCGCCCCAACCTTCGTTCTCGTGGCCCTCTTGAGCATCGCCATATTCACATGGTATTTGCAGTTGGCCTTCCGGATGAGCTCGTCGAGCTTCGGCGTGATGACCCGAATCTGGCCGTCGGTCAAGCACAAGGGGGCGCCTTTGCTGGCGTCGAAGCGTCTGCTTCACCAGCAAACGCTCCAATACCTCCGCGATATCTCGGGGCAACAGGCCCTGCTCGTGTATAACCTTGGCGACGAGCACTTCGCTCGGCGACATATTCTTCTACCCGGTCGCTGGCATTGCGGCGGCTGGAAGGGGTGAAGAACGCGCGCCACAAGCTCGGCACTGGCTTGCGAACGGAGCTAATGGTGCACCGCGCGGCTTCGCGGGGCAAGTGTCCCGAAGTTTGTCTGGCGGTGATCCCGCGGTCGCTCCGAGCGGTTGCCCCCCGCACAGCGCGCGGGGCAATCGTCCCGAGCGGTTGTCCCGACTGGTTGTCCCGAGGTGCACCGTGTCAGTTGCCCCGCGCGGCTGCGCCACGGATGTCCGTCGGTTGCCCCTGCGCCATGCTGATGGCCCGTAGTTGGATAGATAAGAAGAAGCGCGGTGGGAGCATCTGCATGTCGACCAGCTGCGCGGCGTTGCAAACGGCGGCGCATGCCACCAAATGTGCATGCACGCATACCTACCTACCTACCTGCATGCAGCATGCATGCATGCATGCATACATACATACATGCACACATACATGCCTCATGTCTACTCGCATGCATGCATGCACGCTTGCATGCGCGCGCATGCATACATACATACATACATACATACATACATGCATACATGCAAGTATACGCACGCGCGTTCACTGTCGCGTTAGATGTTGCGCACTTGCGCACACCAAACTCTGCATCTGAGTCGTACAACGCGGCTCTCCAAAGGGCTGGGCCCCTTCCATGGGACCGCCTTGTTCCATCCTGAACTGTTTCTTGATGGTCCCGCGACCTGGCAAAAGGTCCCCTGGAAGCCGAAACTGCCCAAACCAACCCGTTCTTCCGTCGCGATTTCTCTCAGGACGCGAGGAGACCGACTTTCGGGTCATAACTCGGGCCTCTCGCGGCCGTTCAGGACGTTTGGGCACCCCCGAAACGCTGACGGCGAGGCGATGCCTTCCAAGGCAACAGGAACTCCAAGAGCCGACGAGAATCCCCGAAACCTCCCGACACCGCCCCTACAGAGGGCGGCGCCGCTGGAGAGGCCCTCGCGGAGGCCGCCCTACTCATTCGGAGCAGGGCGGGTTGAGACAGCGGCAGCTCAAAATCGGTCCCCAAAATCCTCGCTGGGGTCCAAACTCACCAGGTTGCCGAGCTGCGTCCACCAGCCGCGGCGACGAGGGGGCCCCCCCTAAAGGCAAACCACCGTTGGCTCAACCCTCCTCTGAGCGGGTGCCGCCCTCTCTTCACCCGGGAGGGGCGGGGGCGGGGGGGGGCAACCCCAGGAGGTCCCGACCCGTCCCCGAAAGCCGGTTGTTCCTCCTCAGTCGTTTCGTTAACGGTCCGTCGGCCCAGCGAGGGCCCTCTGGAGGCCGAATCGCGACCAATCACCTCCCGTCGTGGTTTCTGCCACGACGCGAGCATTCATTCGCGGGCGGCCAAAGAGGGGGGGCGTCCACGACGAGGCGGGTCGCAGATCATGGCCCGAGGCATGTGCGCGGACGAAGGGGGGAAAACCACGGGACGCACTGCAAGAAGAAAAGAGGAGGGCCAGGAGACCCGGGGAGATGTCGTGGCCCCGGCCATGACCTTCCCCCCCCTCCCCCAGACATCACCTCCCTGTTTCGGCGACACCGAAGGGTGTGGTTTTCAAAGGGTGTGGTTTGCGACCGGCACCCCAAGGGGCACCCTGGGGGGCGGGCGAGGACCTCGACAGAGCTCTCCGCCGCGCCCCGAGGAGGCCCGACGAAGACAGCGTCGTGCCCCCCAGGGCCCGACGGTGCCGATCGCAAACCACACCTCGGCATAACCATACCATTTGCAGTCGCCGACTGTTGGCCGCCCGCGACCGGGGTGGCGCTCTGGGCGCCCCGCGTGGCGCCGGGCTCCGGCGACGGCGGCGGCCTCGGCCTGGTGTCCCACGCGTATCGGTCGGCGCCCTCGCGGCCCCGCGGGACGTGCTGCTGCGGCCTCGCCGCGGGGGCCCTCCTTCCGAGCCCCTGCAGGTCATCGAGCTACCATAGGGGTTGAGAGAGAGTCAGAGAGACAAAGAGAGAGAGAGAGAGAGAGCCACCGCACCAGGCATCAGGCGAGCCGTGCCCACTGCGGGGATGGGTGGGAAGGCACCGAAGCGCTGGTCTACTACATCCCGCAACATTCCGGCTCGCGTCCTCGCTATGCCCGTTGGCAGTGGGCGTACACACACCAGCTCAGAGGCGGGGCCGCCATCCCGCGAGAACAAAACAAACCCACGCATCTTGTCGCGCCGCCTGCTGCGCTGCCGTGGACGAGCCCGGGCAAGGAACGAGGGAGGCCATCAGCGCGAAGGCCGTGGAGCTCGACCCGAAGCTCCGGAGCGGGCGCGTCGAGCCTTCCTCGGGAGGCGGGAGGCACCTGGAGGAGGAGGAGGAGGAGGAGGAGGAGGAGGAGGAGGAGGAGGAGGAGGAGGAGGAGGAGGAGGGCAAGGAAAGGGAGGAGGAGGACATCGAGGGGCCGGCCCCAGACCGCCCCAACGTGGCCCTCGCCCAGCTCCTTGACAGCAGGGAGAGGCGCCTGCTCTCACACACCGCACCCCGCGGCGCGCGACGAGCGCTTCCCTTCTCTGAAGGGGCCCCAGGACACACAAATAAATACACACAAATAAAATTATTCCCCATATTTTCACATATTTTCTGGGTTTTTGTCTTCCCCCTCACTTCCCATATTTTCCCATATTTTCTTGGGAATCGACGATTAATTGTGTCTGTGTGTTTTTTCCCCTCCTGACCATAGGCCCCCCGACGGACATCGAGGGGCCGGCCCCCAGACCGCCCCAACGTGGTCCTCGCCCAGCTCCTTGACAGCAGGGAGAGGCGCCTGCTCTCACACACCGCACCCCGCGGCGCGCGACGAGCGCTTCCCTTCTCGCCCTCCTCCTCCTCCTCCTCCTCCTTCCTCCTCCCCTCCTCCTCCCCTCCTCTCCCCCTCCTCCTCCTCCTCTCCTCCTCCTCCTCCTCCTCCTCCTCCTCCTCCTCCTCCTCCCCACTCCTCCTACGACGAGGCCGCGCCCTCGCGCCGCCCCCCCGCGCGGCCGGCGGGCGGCCGGACCCGCGACGCGGCCGCTCGCCGAGCCGGTCGACGGCCAGCCCGCCCCGGCGCCGAGCGGAGCGAGGGGACCACCGCGGCGGCTGCAGCGCGTGGCTCGAGAGGAGGAGCAGCCGAAGGACGGGCACGGGGAAACCAGGAGGTACGGATACCGTCGGGAGCGGCAAACAGGGGGGTGTCCAAGAGGGGGGGGTGCAAATCATGACCGTCGGCATGTGCGCGGCCCAGCGGGGGGGCCAGGGACGTAATGAAATAAGAAGAGGCGCCATGAAATCTGAGGAAAAATCATGGCCCGCGCCATGAAATCCACCCCTCCCTAGTCATCACCCCCCTCTTTTCCGCTCCCGATACCGCTGCTGCCCAGACCTTTTCTCGGGGCGCGCTCGGACTGGCATCCCGAGGCGGATCCAGCGGTGGCGACGAAGGCCTCCCAGGACGCTCAACAAGGGGGCAACGAGGGAGGGGCAGCGGTATGGGTACCTTCTCCTCCTCTGAGTGTGGCTCGAGAAGGAGCGGCAGCAGAAAAAAGCTGCGCGGTCTGCTGGCCTCTCCTACAATCGAAACTGGTGGCAAGGATAGGTCACCTTCCCAAGAGTACCCTTGCATCCGTGCCTCTTTGGCCATGCTTGGCTACTTCCGATGGCCCACCGCGCCCGGAAAAGCTTCAACACCGGGCGTCCAAGGCTCCTGCATCCCCCTCGCGCACCCTTACTGTCGATTTCGACTGCACAGCGGAGGTCGGCCCCGGCCCACGACGCGGCGCGAGAGTCACGATCATCTCACCGCGCCCCTGCGGAGGGAACCCTTCTCGGAGTCCTGAGCGCCCGCCTCCCTTGAGTCACATCCTGGCAGGCCAGCTCTGCACGCATGGGGGCACGGTCGGCATCGAATCCCAGCAGCCCTGTTTTGGCGGCGCGCACGGGTGGGGGGCGGGGGAGAGGGGAGAGAAGGAGAGAGGAGGGAGGGAGGGAAGAAGAGGGAGGGAGGGAGGAGACGGAGGAGGAGGAGGAAAGAGGAGAGATGGGAGAGGGGAGATGAGAGAAGAGGAGGGGTGAGGGATGGCTTCTCAGAAGCACCTCTGGCTTCTTAGAAGGCGCGGGCCCTACATCCACAAGCAAGGCCCGCGCCTCCTAAGAAGAAGCCTCCCTCTAAGAAGCCTCCCCCCCCCTCCCCCTGCCCCGCTCTCTGCTCGTGGCCGACCTTTCGGGCGCGGGTGGTTTGGAGAGTTTCATCTTCCATCCTCCCTTCTTCCATAGTCAAAAAATAGTCGAGGGACGATGTTTTTTTTTGTTTTTTGCATTTGTTTCAAATATTTTTGGGCCAACATCCCTTCTTCCACTGCCTGTTCCTCCACGTCCCTGGTCGGGGCAACTCGTCTGGGCATCGCTTTTGCATGGGCAGGCGGGGTTACGCAGAGCGTTTGGGAGCGACACGTGGGATGGGATCGGAACAAGCATCGAATCGGGCCCCATCGGCACGGTGTCGGAATCCGATCGGACCGGCCGCGCCAGGAGGAACAACAGCGCCCTCCAAACATCGGGCCGCATCGGGCCACCAAGAAATCGGACGCGAATCGGGCTGGCCAGATTTGATATCGAATCAGATCGATCGGATCAACATGGGCCCTGGAAGCGGGGAGGGGCTCCCTGGCGAGCCCCCGCATGAAAGCTGGAGGTTACGCAACTCGAATGTTACTTGCGCACCCTCTCTGCCCAGAACTGGAATGAGAAGGCGGGGAAGGAGGGAAAGGCATGGGGACAACATGTCACGCGTGTAGACCTGCCAGGGTCGAAACAAAACCAACTTGCTTTACGAATCGTCCTCATCATCATCGGCGCCGTCAAACCCAAATCTCTTCGCGCAGGGAGGAGTCACGACGGGCGGTTTCAAATCATCTTCGGCGGGAGAGCGCTCGCGCACCTGGGCCGGGGACCTTCGAAGAAACGGCTCGCGGGACCGAAGGCATATCCAGGGGAAGCTATCGGCGCGCACAAGTGGGTCGGGGGAGGGGACAAGGCGTCTTAGAAAGAGGCTGCTTCTTAGAAGGCGCTGGCCGTGCATCTATGCACAAGGCCCGCGTTTTGCACAGGTGTTTTTAATCAAAAAAGAAGAGGAAGCACAACTAATAATGATAAAAATATTTTCAAACTAGTTTATTCGTTATTAATAATAATAATGATAATAATAATAATACTAATATTAATAATAATAAGAAGAATAAGAATAAGAATACGAATAAGAATAATAATAATAATAATAATAATAATAATAATAATACTAATAGTATTTTGCATATATATATATACATATATGTATATATATATATATATATATAAAAAAAAGAAAAAAGAAAAAAGAAAAAAAAAAAAAAACGTTCCCCCGACCCCCTCTGCGCCTGGCCGGGGCTCGCGGGATTGAAGCTGGCTCCACGGGATAGGTCCTGACATCCCGGGGCCCACTCTGCGAGTCAAGCCGCGGCCGGCACCGGAATGGAGCCCTGCGCGCTGCCGCGGTGGTCCCGGGCAGGCTGCGCTGCCCGGCGGGGGGAAGAGGGGAAAACCAAACATACGATGCGGCGGCAAACGCGGAGGTGGGAGGCCAGATTGTGCGGGGCGGGCGGGCACGCGGAAGAGGGGCAGGGCGGAGGGGGATCGTTTCCAAGCGTCGGGAAGGGGGCCGTCGGGGTCATCTGGGAGCGGCGCGGGTGGTCGACCGAGCCGCCCGAGCTGCGGCTCGGCGGGGAGAGCCCGTTGCGGGATCACCCGCAACCCCGCCTGGAAAAGGGCCAGACGGCGTGCGCGAAGGGGGGGGGGGGGGGGCGAAGAGGAAACGCGCGGGGCGCGTCCGTGCCGTCCAGCAAAGACGGGGGTGGGTCAACGGGGGGTACTAGGCAACGCTGGGAAGACTCGCCGCGTCCGCCTTGGGCGCAACCAGACGGGGTGCTGCCACCCTCGCACCTCCAGGCTGCGACCGGAAGCGCCGCAACACCGCCCGCGCGCTCTCCCTGCCCAAAGAAACGGAACATCGGCGGGCGCGTTGGTCCGCAACCGCTGCGGTGTCTTCCCCCGTGGCGTTTGCCTCCCTCTTGGCTAGGACCCCGAAGGCCCTGCGTGCCTCGCGGCACCACCCGCCGCCATGGGCTTCCACCGCCATGAGGAAACAGGTGAAGTCATGCGCCGCGCAAAGCCGCACGGCGTCCTGATGTTGCCTTGCGAACTCCTCATGCCCCTTCGTCGCCGCGCTCGATGAAGAGGCCGACGCGGCAAGAAAATCGGCGCGCAACGCAAACGTGGCGGCAAAGTCCCAGGCGACCGCCGTGCCGTTGCGCCACCGAGGAAGGTCGACGTCGGCAGGGCGGCGGCCAGTGTCGTCCACCTGGAACACGCCCTGGACGCCCCCAGGGGTGGCCTCCCCGGCGGGGCGCGGGAGTAGCAGTCCCAGGCGCTCCAACTACGCCCCGGCGTGGCCAGCGGCCGCGGCGTCGAAAAAGGCTTGGTTGCGCGGGGCGTTGTGGCGTTCGGTCCGGCCCCGTCGGCAGGCGCAGACCAAAGCGTGGTCGCAGAAAACGCACACCACCTTGCCACAGGCTGGGCAAAAAGCGCACCTCCTGCAGGAGCTGGACACGCAGCCACCTCTGCGGGCCGACCTGCATGAGGCCGTGCGGGAGGAGGGCGGTGCCCATGGCCTCGCAAGGCGGAATTCTCGGTCCTCGTGGTCGAAGATTCCTATATCGAGGTTCGATGAAGGGGGCAGGAGTAGGAGGGGTCGAATCGATTGCGGCCTCCGAGGGGCGCGTTAATGGGCCCAGGGGCCCTCAACAATCGATCCAAGATGAATGGCCCTCCAGGTTAGACCCCTGGAAGGGTCCAGGAGCCGATTCTGAGCACGTTGTCCGAGCCCCGCGGAGGAGGGCCCGAGGCTTTTGGATGTTTTTGAGCCCATCTGCGCTTCCTGAGAGGCGCCCCCGCTTTGGGATTCTGATCAGGGCCGTCATCGTCGTCGATCTCCTCCTCCTCCTCCTCCTGGTCCATCTCCTCGTCGTTGTTCTCCTTCGTAAGCCACGCCACCACCACCACCACTAAGCCGAGAATCCGGAGGAACGCGTGGGCAGAAAAGCGCGCGATTGGCAACTCTTCGGAAAATGCGAAAAACGCGACAGAAGAGGGAGAGGGAGAGGAGGGAGAAGAGGTAGAGGAGCGAGAGGGAGAGGGAGAGGGAGAGGGAGAGTAGGTGGAGAGAGGGAGAGAAGAGGGAGAGGAGGTGGAGGAGGTGGAGAAGAGGGTTGGTAGGCCACGAGGTGCCTACATGGGCGGAGCTCAGGAGACCTCTGGAGGCCGAGGTACGAGGACCCCTGGAGGCATACGGTGACCTCCCCATCATTTTGCCCAGACATCCTTTGCCACAAGACCTTCGAGATGGCCGCTTCGTCTCTAGTGAAGGCACCCAGACTCACATCTCGGACCCCGACAACATCAGAAACCAGCTGTGCGGAGAAGCTATCACAGGGAACGGGATCGAGAGGTACGGGGCTGCGTCACGAGTAAAAACACAACTCTGGATGTATGGGTCACCGTCGTTGTCCTGATTGTCTTTCTCCTCCTCATCATTCTCATAATCAAAAAACCTTGTCCTGCCCGTCCTTTCCTCGACGAGGACCAATGCCAGGAGGAGAAGGGCGATGACGAGGAATCCTCGACCTCCTCCATCGTCCTCCTCCAGCTCCTCTCACCCCCTGCACCGCTCCCTCGTCGAGGACCGGTACGACGAGGACGAGGGAGGAGAAGGAGGATGAGGAGGAGGAGGAAAAGATGGAGGAGGGCGATAACGAGAAACCCTCGTCATCGTCCTCCTCGGGTTCCCCCATCGTCCTCCTCCAGCTCCTGTCATCCCCTCCGCCGCTCCCCTCCCCCCTAATCCCCCTTCCCCCTTGCACCCCCCACTCCGCCTTCCCCTCTCCTGTGGATTGGTCAAGCTGACGCCACCCGCCTAGACTGCCCGCGCCAGCGCTCCAACCCCGCCGCGGTGGACAGCTCCTTCAAGCGGGTGAGGGGGGGGGGGGCATCGATGATGGGAAGAAAGGGCGAGGGGAGAAGGAGGAGGGCGAGGAGGAGCAAAAACGGGGGCCAGGAGGGAAGATGAACGAGAAGGGAGAGGGGGGAGAGAGGAGCGGAAGGATGAAGGTGAAGACAGGGGGGGGCCATGCTTCTGTAAGGCCTTGATCGTCCCTGACTGCTGCGCGTAAGTCAAACTTTAACCCAGGTGATTTCGATGTACTGGCACGAAGAAGGGAAAACGGGAGTCCAGCGGAAACGGATCGGAACCCCGCGACTTTTCTCAGAGCAGGCGCAGCGAGAGAGAGAGAGAGAGAGAGAGAGAGGAAGAGAGAGAGAGAGAGAGAGAGAGCGAGGGCCCTGCGCTCGGCACCGCACGCTTCACAGCCAACACCATCAGCCAACGGAGGAGGAACCTACGGCTGATAATGAAGATGCATGGCGCAGGAGGGGGAGGGGCTGAGTTGCCAAAGAGTGCATCCAAAAACTTGAGCACTGGTGATCGGAACAACGCGGCAGGACAGGATAACGGATGAGGGGTCGAGTGGCTTCTGGAAAGAATGGCTCCTCCTCTTCCTCCTCCTCCTCCTCCTCCTTCCCCTCCTTCCCCTCCTCCTCCCTTCCTCCTCCTCCCTTCCTCCTCCTCGTCCCGCGCAACCAGGCTCCATGCAGGCAGGCCTGGGGCACAGGTCGCTCCCGCGCTCTGCTCGGGAGGCCCGGGGGGGATCTCGAAGATGGCCAGGCGCCCACCCCCTGGAGGGGGAAAGGACGACGAACGTGCGCACGAGTGCACACTACGGTAGAGGGAAACAACTACTGAACACTCCCCCTCCCCCCAACTCAATGTTGGCACGCGCGGAAAACACTGCGGTCGAAGTGCATCTCATCAGACCCACCGCCAACTTTGAACATTGGGGGGGGGAGGCGTTGACAGATGAATTTGGCATGAGTGTTCGCTAACTTGTTCCGAAGCCTGTACCGCGCCTACCGCGCCTTCTCAGGCATCCCCTCGCAGGACGCCGCCGCCCTCGCCCCCTGCCAGGATCTGCAGAAGATCGGCCCCGGAAGCCCTCCCGGGGCTTGCGGGTCCCAGGGCCCATGCTGGGAGAGGCCACGTTCGGGAGGGACCAGCTCAGGGAGGGCAAGCATCGCGCTGGAATCGGCGACACATCGCGGAGAGGTCGGCGATGGCGCACATTCCTACGCGGCGTGGGCCGTGAGGCACCCGAGCGACGAAAGAAACGGGTCTTACGCGCGATGGCATACACCCTGCGAAATGCTTAAGAAATCATGGGTTAAGAAATTCATAGTCTCAGAACTTGAAATTAACCCAACAGTTCTATTACGATCTTAAGATTTACATTGAAAAGTTAAGAATAATCGAGACTCTGGCCGACAAAGTAAGTTTTCTTAAGCATCGCCTAAGGTGTAGCGCCATTACGCGGTGGCTTACGCAGGCTGCAGGTCGGCACACCACATTGAAAACGAGGGCGCCTACGCGCGACCAGCCGCGGGCAGCTGACGCGCCGATGTTGGCGCAGACGACCCCGTTTGCTCCCGTCGCTCGGCTATCGGCGGTCCATGGGCGATTGGGGGTCGACGCGCGCTGCGCTCCTCCTCCTCCTCCTCCTCCCTCCTCCTCCTCCTCCTCCTCCTCCTCCTCCTCCTCCTCCTCCTGAGCCCATTCCCCCTTAACTAGTCGAGCGCGTTCCGCTGCTCGCACAGCAACTGCTCGCGAATGGCCTGGATCCGCCGCGGGGGATGTACGATAGATCTCCTCCAGCCGAACATCTGTTTCTTCGCACGCTTGCGAGCAGGCACCCTGCGAGTCGTGGCACGCGCCTGGTGACTGACGTCGCCCCCGAGAGGGCCGAGGGAGGCCCGCCGAGCCTCCAGTCGCAGGCCATCCACGGCGCGAGCAGGTCAGGCAGGCACCCGCCCCTCTCTGGGCGCCGCCGACACGCACTCTGATGAGCCTGTTGTCCACCACCACCACCACCATAAGTTGGAGGGGGGAAGGAGGAGGGCGAGGAGGAGGAGGAGGACGAAGAGGAGGAGGAGGAGGAGGAGGAGGAGGAGGAGGAGGACCCCCCCCTCCAACTTATGGTGGTGGTGGTGGAAAACACGCTAATCACACTCAGCACATGACCCCCTCGAGACGGCGGCGGCTCTTCCGCCCGGCCCCGGGTGCCGCTCCAAACCGGCCCCGCGGCCCCTGCCGGGGCCCCTTTTCGGACCCCTTCTCCGAAGCGGGCCTGGCCAGAGCGACGAGGACCCTCCTGGGCGCCCGGGAGGGGCGGCACGCGCCAGGAGAGGGCCGCCGCCTGCCATCGCTCGGACGTCCATTCCCTGTGCCTTTTTCGGTCTCGTGCGTGGCTTTTTTTCGCCAAGTGATCAAGGATGCTCCTCGATGGTCCTCGCCGAAGGAAAAAGGTACACGTCCGAGCGATGCCGAGGCCGTGGTCACGACTGGCCCTCCTCCAGTGGACAGGGCCACTGCCGCCGAGACTCGCTGGCCGCGAGGGCGGGCTCGCGTCCTCCACGGCCCACAGGAGGTTGCGGAACACCTCCGGGAACGGGGAGAAAAGACGCCACCACCACCGGCGCTGCCTGGGAGGCTCCTGGTGCTGTGGTCCCAGACATGCTCGCGCCATGACCGAGATCATGACGGGGAAGTTTTTGGCAATGTTCGGGGAGTGCGAACAAGTACTCAGGATGAGAGACCGCTCCGTTCCGACAGTGGGAGGTCCAGACCTCTGAGGAACCCACGTTCCGAAAAATCACGACGTCGGGTGTCTGGGGGTGGAGTCCCCTTTCCTTGCTCGAGCATTATTTTAGGACGTGGGTTAGCGTCAAACCTTGGCTCCCTTGAGACGCTACAAACGCAACGCGCGAGGAAGGGGGCCGAGCGAGGTTTCGATAACGAGCGAGGCGAGGACCAAGGGAAACGCCGAGTGGAAGGGACCGACCAAGAAAACAAAAACAATCAAGAAAAGAAAAACACGCAGAGACCCCTGCTCGAGACGACCCCCATCTCCAGCTCGGGGAGGCACCTTGTATCTCTGCTCTGGAGGTGGCTCTCCTAGCGGTGGCGGTGTGACCCGTACTTTCCTCCACACACCTCGGGGTCGCCAGTGCCGGGCACGTCGGGGTGGTACCTGATGGCGAGCCGGCGGAAGGCGGGCTTGACCTGCGGGCGGCTGATGTCGGCGACCGCGTCGTCGACGTCGGCTTCGTTGCGGAGGCATTCTGGCTTTTCGGGCATTGATCTGTCCCCAATTTACGGGCGCTTCGCAAGTTTAGTTGTCGGGCTTTCGGAAGGCTTCGACGTCGTCGTCACCGCGGCTGGACGCAGCTCGACAAGCTGGCCCAGATCGACCCCAGGAGGGGTCCGTAGACCCAATTTGACCCGATCTGGGTGGCTGTGTTCATCATCGTCGCCGCGTCGTCTCTGTTGACGTCGTCGGGGCCGACAATGAGGACGGAGTGGGGAAGGAGGAGAAAGGGAGGAGGGAGGAAGGAAGGCGGGGAGGACGGGAGGAGTGGCAGAAGAAGGGACGTGGCGGAATGCGTGAGGGGATAAATCGAAGAGGAGGGAAGGGGAGGTAAAAGGAAATTGACGAGTGCGATGGGGCCTCGGCCTGGAAACGCTGACTTTCTTCTTTCGTCGCAAATTTGGTCGGGAGATGAATCAGTTGAGCTCAACGGTGCGTTGCGGCCACGACAACCTGGCAACGAAGGCATATGTGTATATGATGATGGTGATATGGTGAATATGTATGTGTATGCACATGCGCCACTAGGTGTATATATACCTATATGACCATGTGTATACGTGCATCCATGGTGTATACGTGTCTCACGACGGTACATACGAATGAACATATACATACGCACATGTGAGAATATGGAATAAAGCGTGTGCGTACATCGTGATGCCACGACGTATTGTAAACATTGTGCATCTGCATAGGCAACTGATGCAAATCTAAGCACACGCATAGATACATACTTACGATGATATGTGCACATATGTGTGGAGACATCACAAATACGGGTGCACGTACACATGTATGCATATATAAAACATACATAAACATTTGGACGCCCCCCCGCCCCAGCACCCCCAAACCACCCCAAAACAAACGAAGCGCCAACTGATCGTGTTATCCTCCTCCTTCTCCGTCTCCTCCTCGTTATCCCGTCCTCCTCCTTCTCAGAAGCTGAAAACGACTCTCTTGGGCTCGTTTGAGGAGGGGTCACGTCTCTGAACGTAGGGGGCCTGAAAACGCTGTGGTGTCCATTCTTTTTTTCTGGTTTTTCTGATTTCTGGCAGAGGCTACGCAAGTTGGCTAGTCTCTCCCAGGAATCAGGAAAACCACAAAAACAGAAAAACCTGAAAGACACAGCGTTTTCAGCCCCTCTACGCTAAGGAAGGAGGAATGAGAGAGGATACAGGAGTGATGCGAATGAGGGGAGGCCGAAACGTGTGAGGGAGTGCCGAGATTGGCTTGGGGCCTTCGGTAGGAATCTTCTCTTGACGGCGCCGGGGCCTGCCAGGGGACCCAGGAGGCCGACAATGCAGATGCACGCACACAGTATATATAGATATACACATATATATACATATATATATATATATACATATTTACATATATATATATATACACATATACACACACCTTAGAGCATCTTTGCGCGACGAGCGGTTTCCCGTCCATTCAGTGTGGGCGAGCACAGTGGGGTAAACAGATTGAACCGAAAGCGATTTCATCGTCTACGCCCCCTGGCTCCATCTACTTGAGACCGACCGGATTGGGTCTGTCCGCGGGGTCCGAGGATCGCGCCGCATCGCCGATGCATCCGCGATGCACCAACGACGGCGGGATGGAGAAAACAAGGCTCCGAATCCAAGCGCAACGCTCGACTCCATTGCGAGGCCGAGGTGGGGGGATCCGCCGACTCCATCCACATCCAATTTTGGCCTGGCTCCGACGGGCTCCTCGGACGCCCTCCGCAAGAGACCGCCACGAGGCGCGGTGCCTCCCTGCGCACTCTGCGCCTAAACCCCCGTCGGGGCGGCCTGGGTCTGCCGCCCCGCCGCGCCCGAAGCCTGGCCGGTCAGCCCGCGGAGGGGCAGTCACTCTTGGGGTCGAAGTGGTAGGGCAGCCTCGCGATGTGCTCCAGGCAGCCGCCGCACTGCAGCTCCCTGATCGCCGCCTGGAGCCTAGCAAGGCAGGATCGGTCAGCATCGAACCGGGCGGTCGGATCGGATCGGAGCACGCGTCGGATCGGGCCGCATCGGGACGGAGTCGGAATCGAAGAGGATCGGCCGCGCCGGGATGCGCAACAACGCCATGCAAACATCGGGCCACATCGGATCGTCGGAATATCGGAATCGAGTCGGATCCGACCAGCCAGAATCGACATCGAATCGCATCGATCGGACCGAAATTGACCCTGGGTGGAGGGATTCTTGTGGAACAGCGGGCGCCAGTCACCTCACGAGCGGTGTAGACAAAGCAGCCAGGTACCCTGCTGGAAGCTCATCCCACTCTGTCGGGGATATTGTTGTGTAAATTGGCGAGGTTTTTCTCATCGAGGAGGAAGGCGGCGGGGAAGGGGGGGAGAAGAAATGAAGAGGATTGCTGCTCCCCTCTCCCTCCCTCCCTCCTCCATCCCGCTGCTCGTGTTTCTCCTCCTCCTTCTCCCTTCCTCCCTGCCGCTTTCCTGTCCCCTCGAATCGGGTGAGACTCCCTGGAATATCCCAAATGCATCTCTTCCTCATGACCACCCCATGCCATCCCGAAACCCGCCTGCTCCTGGACCAGCCCCCCACCCCTCCTGGAACCCTTCAGGACCCTCCCCCCCTCTCCCCGTACCACGCTGATGATGCTCTCTTCCTCGCAGGCACACGCTGACATGAATTGGGGACCCGTGGATCTGGCACCTGGGCGCCAGATCTCTGGACCGGGGAATGCCCCCCCCCCCCCCGGAAAACGGCGCCGCTGCAGCCCGATTTGGCGACGGAGCCCGCCGACACTGCACGGACACGGGACCGTCGCTAATCCTCGTGCCTTAATCCGTGTTTGCTCTTCCTCGATCCTGCCCCTCCCCCTTGTCTGGAAGAGCCGCCAACACCGCTAATTAACGTCGCGGGGCCAGCCGTGGCGACGAGCGGGCCCCAGCGGGCGCGCCGGAGGCGCCTCCAGGGGGGGCCAGCGCAGATCCAAAACAACGGTTTCGAATCACGATGTCCCACCCAGCCTCAAGTCGGGCGTGTCACCCTACAGGGGGATGTTCGACGAAACTTGAAAGATACCCCAAAGAATACCCCCCAAATCGTCAAAAGCAGTCAGAAACTCAGAAACTCGTCCCCAGACTAAATTTTTCTACTATTTCTGAATATTCCTCCTGAAGAGGGAGAGGCCCGACTTACACCCGGCCCCCTCGCCCTTGCTCGCTCCTCTTGCTGGTTGGAGGGGGTTGAGGGCCCCTCCCCGCAGCCTGTGGCAGAAGAACGGCTGCTTCTGGGTGCACCCTATGCGCAGGGACGAGCCGAGCGGGGCGTCCACCCGCGGGACGATGTCCTTCCCCGGGGGGGGAGGGAAGCGGCAAGGGAAGAGCAGTAAGAACCCGCCTTGCCCTCTCAACAGGGAGGGTCCTGCTTCACCAGACAGGGCAAGCCTCACCTCCTCCGGGCCATGAGTTGATGAATTGATAGGTTGGAATGTTGAAGTTCCCCCCCCGGGGGGGGGGAGAAAGGAAACAAAAAGAAAAAAAAAGAAAAAAAAAAAAAAAGAAAAAAAGAAAAAAAAAGAAAGAGAAAAAGAAGAGGAAAAAGAAAAAAAAAAGAGAGAAAAAGGAAAAAAAAAAAAAGGAAAAAAAAAAAAAAGAAAAAAAAAAAGGGAAAAGAAAGAAAAAAGAAAGAAAGGGAAAAAAAAAGAAAAGGGAAGAGAAAAAAAAGAAGGGAAGAGGGAACAGAAGAAAAAAAAAAAAAAAGAAAAAAGAAGAGGAAAAAAGAGAAAAAAGGAAAAAGAAGGAAAAACAAAAGAGGAAGAAAAAAAAAAGAAAAGAAAAAAGAAGAAGGGAGAAAAGAAAGGAAAAAAAGAAAAGGAAAAGGAAGGTAAAAGATATGGAACTAGTAACGAGAGAAGAGGAAACAAGGGGAGAAAAAAAAAAGAGAAGAACAGAGGGAAAGAAAAGGAAAAAAAAAAAAAGGAAAAAAAAGAGGAAAGGGCAAAAAAAAAAAAAAAAAGAAAAAAAAAAAAGAAAAAAGAAGAGGAAAAAAAAAAAAAGGAAAAGGGGAGAAAAAAAAAAAAAAAAAAAAAAAGAAAAAGGAGAAAAAGAAGGAAAAAAAAAAGAGAAAAGAAAAAAAAAAAGGAAGTAGGAAGGCCAGACTCGGGTCGAATCGCGAGAATGGATCGGGCCGTTTCGGAATTGATCCGATCGCCCACGAATCGTATCGAAGCGGAGCGACAACGAATTGTCGCAACCAGATATGGCTGGCCTGGACCGACGCCAGAAAATCAAACCGCGCTCAGCTTAATCCATACATATGTAGTACGTACATGTGGAAAGGAAGAGAAAATGAGAGCGCACGAAGGACGGAAATCTGGTTACAAAATGAGCGGGGCAGGCACATGCCAATATATGAACATTTCTTTATATACATCTATATATATATACACACACGGGTGCTAGCCAGCGTGAACCCACACATTGTGCTATAACATACGATGTGGTGCGACCTACGCGGTGCAATCTACGCGGTGCAGCCGGTGCAGTGCAATCTATATTGTACAGTCTACGTGGTGCAATCAACGTGCTCCAATCGATGTGCTACATATCTATGTGATGCCATCTGCGTGATGCCATCGATGTGGAGGATACGCGGTGCAATATACGTGGTTCCCTCTACGTGGGGCAACCTACGTGGTGCAATCCACGTGGTGGAATTTGTCAACTCCACTGCTCGCGCCATCACGACCCACCCACCCGCAACTTGGTGTGCAAAACCCATGGGGTGGCGATCGCGATGACTGCTTGGCGTTGGCTAGCACGTCGCCGCGGCCGCGCTGGCACGGGCAGGCTCGCGCCCGCGCGGCCGCGGCGACGTGCCCAGCGCGGCCGCGGCGACGTGCCCGGCTGCGCTGCGCTATGCGCAACAATGCCCAGCAACGCCAGGCAATGCCAACTGATGCAAAGCAATGCCAACCAATGAATGGCAGTGAGAAGCACTGCGGAGACTGCCAAGCAGCGCAAAACAACGCAACGCAATGCAATCTAAACACCTGCGAAGCAAAGCATTTCCATGTAAATCAATGCGAAGCAACGCAAATACGGCAGGTTCGTGTCGTGCCGACCCCGGCGTTGGTTTTTGACACCGCGCTGGATCGTTCAACCTTGAACGATCGGCCGCTGCCGCAACGTCCAATCGTTCAACATCGACCGATTCTGGGCCGCCGCCGGCGTTCAACGTTGAACGCCGGCGGCGGGGTCGCCGTCGGTCGACACGACGCGAACCTACCGTACAGTGAATCGCACCACTGAAAAAGACTGCAAAGTCATTCAAACAATACAAAGCAGCGCAGGCCAAGTCGGCGACGGAGCGTCGACGGCGACCGCATAGCCACCATACCGACGGGCAGGCCCAGAACGACGGGGCGGCGACGGCGACCACACTGCCGCCTGACCGACGTGCTAAGGTTTGGCTCGGCGGCGGCATGACATTGGAACTTGCGATAAGCGAAACATGCGCTGAAACCGTGCTCGCGCACAGTTCGGCGAACAGCTGATTGTTTGACACTTCTCGGATTAAAAATGGACGCGTGAATCAGTGCCGCCACGCGTTGCTCACAATAGCTACTTCCCGAATTGTATCCCGGGGCGCCCTGACGCGAACCGGCCGAGCCCGCGCGCGAGAAGCATCGGGGGATTTGATGATTCCAGGGCGAGACCAGCATAGGAACGACATCATTTCGTCGGCATCAAGTCCCCACCAACGTCTTGCTCAACGCCCGGAAACGCCGCCAACTTCGCCGTTTGGCACGACGGTGTCCTATGGATTCCGATGGATTCCTATTGATCCTTCGGCAGTCCCAGGGATACCCCGCGCTTCCCGGGGATCCCCAGCGTCTCCTACGGATTCTTATGGCTTCCCATGGACTCGTCAGGATTCCTATGGCCTGCTGTGGCTTCCTGGGGCCTCCTATGGATGCTCAGCATGGAGAGCCCTTGGCAGGGGATCCTCAGTTGGGACTCCCGGAACCAGTCCAGAGCAGCCGAAATAAAACAAACCAGGTCCAATAGCAGCCGCCCGAGCCTGCCCGTTCTGCCCCCTCTCCTCCTCCCTCGCCCTCCCCCCCGCCCCCCCCCCCCCCCTGTGCTCCTCCTCCTCCTCCTCCCGCCTGCGCAGACCCCGACCCCGCATCTCTGACGAGGCCCAGGGACACACACAAAGAAAGATACACACAAGCAACAGGATTCTCCAGATGCTCCCAGATTTTCTGGCTTTTCGGAGTCGACGATTCATTGTGTCTGTGTGATTTTTCCCCTCCTGAGCTTTGACACCTCCCTCCTCGTCTTCGCGTTCGCCCCCGTGGGAGCGAAGCCGACGACGCCCTTGCCCGAGCATCCCGCGAGACAGCTGGCCCGCGAGCGCGCTGGCGCTCCCCGAGACCGCTCCCCGCCAGCCCAGAAACTGCATGGGCGCGGCGCCAATGCACCAGGTTATTTTTGGCCCGAAACGAACGGCGCGGATCTGAAGCCCCACTGGCCCGCCCGAGATTTGCGGCCCCTCCCCGGAACGACGAAACGAATGTCCCTCCCCGAGATAAGATTGCCCTGGCCCATCCAAGGGCGCGCGCCCCCCAAAAATTGGCCAGGCCCCAAAAAATATAGTCAGGCCACGAAACAAATATGCCAGGCCCCGAAAACATGTGTATGCCCCCAACAGTCCGGGGCCCATAAAAAAAACGGTCCAGTCCCGCAGAAAAATATTCCACGCCTTGGGGTGGCCCTGCCCGAAATGAAACTGGGCCTCGTCAGATGAAACAGATGGGCGGGCCCGAAAATCACCCATGCATTTTGACTTGGGCGCCGCCCGACAAAAATCCGGCTCGCCCGATCAGTCTTGGAAACAACGTCGGGCCTCCCCGATACGGTGGAGGTTTTACATAAGGATACCTTCGATAAGGAACCCAGGGTCTCGCGACCGATGGGCGGCCAAACGTGGGCCACCCACTTCGCCGTGAGACAAAAAGGAAGAACGCGCAAGGGTCTGGGCCCCAGGAAGACGTTCCTTATCCAGCTCCGTGAGCTGATTCTCACCCCCCCCTTTGCGATCCCCCCTTGCGCCCGGCCCGAGACAAGACCCAACGGAGTGCAAGCGCAGATTGTCCATCCCGCCGCCGCATGCTGCTGGGCGGTCTACCCCGCCGCCGCCCGCCCAGAGGGCCGCGGGCGGTCGTGGGGTGGTGGGGGGGGGGGGGGGGGGGGCGGGCCCGCGGCGGGGCGTGGGCCTGCGCGGCCCCGCGAGACGGGTGGCCCCCAGAGGGGGCTGCTGCGGGGGCCTGCGGGGCCACCGGCAGTCCCCGGGGGGGGTCCCCGAGAGGGGGCCCCGCGTGGTGGTCAGCTCGGCAGGGCCGGGTGCTGTGCTTGTTCTCCTGCGCGCTTCGACGGCGCCTTGGGGGCGGCGCTGCTGCGCGCACGCGCGCGGGCCCTCTGTTGGGGACTCTCTTGGGAATCTCCCAGGGGCCTTCCGCCGGTCTCCGGCGCGCTCCTCGGGCGCGCTCCTGTGCGGCACCCCTCGGACGAGCCCGTTGGACGCTCCCGATGGCCTGGCGGAATCTGACCACCTCCCGAGTGCCTCGCCTTCCTGTCCTCATCCCTCCCCTTGCTCGCGCCTCAGGGGAGCGGCTTCGACTGCGGCGGGCCCGCGGCTGCGCCGACATACAACCGCGCTCGACTCGCATGGATTCCAAGTGATGTGCGCAGATCTTCAAGCGTAGGTTTCGTCGCGCAGTCCATACAGTCGCCCGATATACACGCTATGCCTGATCCAAGAAGATCGGCGGCGACGGGGCGGCGACGGCGACCACATCGCCGCCAGACCGACGGGCAGGCCCAGTTCCCAAGAAAAGAAATAAGAACCTCTAACTGCAAGCACTGTCTGTGGAATATGCAGGGAGAGATAAAGAACATCAAACAAGAGACAGAGAGAGGGAGAGGAGGAGAGGGAGGGGGAATGAGAGAGCTGCGAAGAAGGGGCGATGGAGGATGGAGGGTCGACGGTGCAGCATGGCGGAGGGAGGCGAGATGCGTGAAGGAGGAGGCGTGAAAGAGGGCGAGGAGGTAGGAACAGAGAGGAGGAGGAGGAGGAGGAGGAGGAGGAGGAGGAGGAGGAGGAACAGAGAGGAGGAGGAGGAGGAGGAGGAGGAGGAGGAGAAGGAGACGGAGGAGGAGGAGGAGGGAGGAGCGAGGAGGAAGGCGAGAGGAGGAGTGAGGGACGAGGGAGGAGTGGAGAGCAGACGAAGACCGAGGGAAAACCAAGGAAGGAGGGCGGACTGGGCGAGAGAGGGAGCGAGGAGGATGACGGAGGGAGAGGGGGAGAGAGAGAGGGAGGGTTGAGGTGTGACGTGCGCGAGGAGGGAGGAGGGAGGGGAAGGTGGGAGGTGGGCGAGGAGAGAGGGAGGGAGGAAAGCTGGGCGAGAAGGGAGTGGGGAGGGATGGACAAGGAGGCAGGCCGCAAGGAAGGCCAAGTCCTTGTCCGGAATAATGCTGTAGACGAGCTTGTCTGCGTTCTGGGTGAGCTCGTGGTTGGATATCCGCCGACCCTCACGTCCCAGCTCCGCGGAGCAGCCGAGATGGAGCGATCTGGGGCCCCCGAGTGCCTCTGGAGGTTCGCCCGTCTGGGCCCCTGGATGCCAGTCTCGGGCCCCTGGAGCTGGACCCACGGCAATGGAGAAGCCTGAGAAGCGCGCCGTCGGACGAGGGGGCCCGGGGACCGGACGCGCGAGATCTGCGGGCACCTCCCCGGGCACTCGCGCCCCCCTGCTGGAGTCCCATGGCCTCCATCCGCTGAGGGGGGGAGGGGGGGCACGGGCAGGGAACACACGTAACACACGGCACCCCAGCGGCTGGCCCCAGCACCAAGCTAAAAAAAGAGGGCGCCGCCAGCTCCGCTCCGGCGGTCGGCGGAGCTGGTCGCGAGACTCACGGATCACGATCTTGGACACCTGCTCCAACCCTGGGCTTGAGAACGTCACGGCCACACGGCTCATCTCGAGCGCCACTAGAGCCGCCAAGCCCCCTCCCAATGAGTGCCCGGTGAAGTAGTACTTCCTCTCGGGATCGTCGTTGATCGACTTCCGGACGTAATCGAGGAAGCCCCTGAAGAAATCCTCGTAACGATTGCGATAGCGATCCCGAAGTGTCACTGGAAAGATCGTGGTTACGACCATCGCCAGATCGGTGTCCAACAGCTAACATAACCGAAACACTGGGGGAGAAACGGGCCCATGCATGCACCCCATGTCCATTCATCGTCCCTCCTATTCCTTTTCCTCCTCCGCCTTCTCTGCGTTCTTCTCCCGCCGTCCTCCTATTCGTTCTCTCCGTACGCCTCGCCTCTGCTCTTCCTCCTCCTCCTCCTCCTGCCTCGAGCGTCCTCGCTTCTGGGGGCGGGGCAGGCAAAAGCAGTCCGAGAGGACGCAAAGCTCTCCCTGAGGCAGCACTGCGCGAGCATGCCAGGGGGCACACGGCCCAACAAGCTGGAGATCAAGAGGAGATGGGAACACTCTCAAACCTATCGGCACGAAAATAGTGCGCCATTCAAGAAACACTCATGAACCGCTTTGCATTCCCTTGGACCATGTAAGTTCAACCTTTAACGGGCGAAGAACGGTATCACATAAACTGTTTCGCCGTCGGGGACACCTGCCCCAGGGCGGCTGGCAACTTTATACCCCGACGGCGAAAAAGCTTATGTTATACCGTTCTTCGCTCGCTGAAACCTTGGGTGGGCCCCAGGAGGCCAGCAACGGCGAAAAGCCTGAGGATAACTCGACCGCAGGCGGCCTGCTCTTCATGCTTGGCTCGCCTACAGCACGGAAACATCACATCAACATCCTCTGTGATCATCATCAGCGTCGTCGTCGTCATCGGTTCAGGACTCCCTTCAACAGCTCCTTTGTAAACCAATTGGTGCCCATGCCATTGGACAAGATGGCGGCGGCATCCGATGCCAGTATGCTCACATCGGGGCCAAACCAAGCAAACAGTTGCGCAATGCCAGTAGACAGCCAGAGATTGATATCCTGAAGAAGATCCACATGGTCCTGAGTCCCACGAGTAAGAAATACGGTTGTTCTGTTTTCTGGGCTCCATATCTCGTAGAACGTGGTCCAGTCGTTCTGCGATTTCCTCATGCAGCGCTTGCACATTTTGCCCACCTTCCAGCCTGGGAAATACTCGTGCAACCTATCCTGGAAGTCCTTGGGCTCATAATTGGCCAGCGCGGCCATGTGAGCGAAGTCCAAGATGGTGAGGTAAGACTTCTCCTCCTTGCGGAAAAGACCGAACTTCATGGTGCAAAAATCGTAGTTCTGTCGTTCGGAATTGGCCTCCGTCTGGTGGTTGGAGGAGATGCCAAGAAGAAGAACAAATAACACACACATCACATGTCGGAGCTCCGCGCGGACTTCTTGTACCGGCGCTGGCTCCCCCCTTCCCGGCGCGCGGCAGCGCCGATCCAAGAACTCCGCGTTGAGCTCAGACAGGTTATGCTGTATGCCGATGTCCCCTTCCTCGAGATGCCCTCGCCCAGCGGTGCGCTGGCCCTGGGCGGCGGCAGGAGGGCCTCCTCCTCCTCCGACGACGACGAGAACGGGCCGTGCATGCCGGCGGCGTGCAGCGCGCGGAGCCGCGCGGGCGGCCCCGCGAGCCGCGCGGAGGCGGCGGTGCTGTTCCCCAGGGTGGCGGGCTCGTCGAGGAAGCCGCTCTCCACCGTCTTCACGCAGACGCCGAGGGCCGGAGGACGGACCGGTCGGGACAGCGGCGGGCCTCCCCTGGCGCCGTTCGGCCTCTGCTGGGCCCCGTCATGGCTTCTCGTCGCCACGGCTGAGCTCGCTTCAAAGAGGTGGGTCAGGAGGGACCGCAGAAGGGGCCCGGGGAGAGACGTTGGGCGGAGTTGGGGCGGGCGGGCAAACCGGCGTTGTCTCAACTGGCCCTCCTCCGAGATGATCAAGAAGAGAAAACACTGGAGCCCAAGGCTTGACACTACGTAGATACGCCACTGAGAGCTCTGGTACCGCGTGAACGTGAATTGCACCAGGACGAAAAGAAGAAGCGTTGACCAGCCGAACCGGGTGGTGCCGTCCAACGTTAACCAACCGAAGGCATGGAAGTTGAGAGCGGTTGCAACGAGGACGAACAGACCCCCTTCCAGGAGACCGACCAGCCACCCGAAGTTCAGCTCGTCCACAAAACCAATGGTGAACCTCCGCAGAATCAGCCAGAAGAGTACGAAAAAACACATCACTTGGCCAGCGATCCAATTCAGGTGCCAGAAGAAAGCCAGCTGAACTGCGACGGAAAACGCCGAGAGCTCGTAGCCCTTGGACAGCGCGGCCTCCGCGAGCCCGCAGTGGACCTCCCCCCACTCCTGCAGCAGGGCCCCCCAGTTGCGCATGTACCTGCGCCCCGCCAGGCACGCCCCACTCGGCAGCCTCCGCGCGCGACGGACGAGGGCGGAGGGAAAAGGGGGGAAGGGCCTCTATGTCCTCGCCTCTCCTCCTCGATGCCCCCGAAACACATTGGCACGATGGAATCCGGTCCTGCTGGAAGCGGGTCCTGGATCATGGGGCTCTCCCCAAGGCCATCTTCTCATCCTGAGTCATCCTGAGGGCCTCGTGAGCCACGTTGAAGGCCACCTTGGGCGCCTTGAGGGCCTCTTGGACCGTCTTGGAGCCCTCATGGATAGAGGAAAAACAAATATGCACATACACCGATTCTGGCCAGGCCCATCCTGAGCCCAGGATCGGTGCATACGCCCTCCTGCCTTGGCCAGGGAGGCACATGCACCGATCCTGGGGCCAAGGATGGGCCTGGCCAGGACCGGTGCATGTGCATAGTTCTCTTCGCCCGAATGGAGCCCTCTTGGCCCGTCTTCAGGCCTTTTCGGGCCCGAAGACACAGACACGCGGGGAGACGCAGCGGAGCCCAAGGGGCACGCGGGAAGCCCCAGGAGACTTCGGAAACTTGGGTCGGGGCCCTTTAGTGAAGGGGCCCCAGGACATACAAATAAATACACACAAATAAAGATATTCCCCATATTTTCCCATATTTTCTGGGTTTTTGTCTTCCCGCCCACTGCCCATATTTTCCCATATTTTCTGGGGGATCGAGGATTAATTGTGTCTGTGTGTTTCTTTTCCTCCTGATTTAGAGACTTCTCAGGACTGAGGACCGAGGCTCCACGGAGTAGGCAAAGGCCAAGAGGACACGCCCACTCCGTGCCTAGAGGCACGGTGGCGGATATGGTTTGCCACGCGGAAAACGGGCCCTCTGGAAAAAGGGTCATGAGGTTTATCTCTGCTGTCGCCTCTTGGGCCCTCTTTTGCATCCAGGGCCCGCCGAGAGACGCCCCAAGAGGCCTCAAAAAGGCCTCCCAGTAGGGCCCCAAGCGGCACAAATCATTGATTATCCGATGGTGTTTGAAGGATTATGGCGTTCTCGCCGTTTCGGCTTTCCGACGCTCCAAGACGGTCCAAGAGACCCCCGAGACCACCCCAAACGGCCAAAGAGGCCTCCATGAGGGCCCCAAGACGGCCTAAGAGCGCCCCAAGACGGCCCCAAGAGGCGCCCAAGACGACCCAACTGGGCCCAAAGGCGGCCCCAAGAGGGGCCCAAGAGAGGGAACACGAACCGAACATCGGAGCCTTCCGCTCCAAGAGGCGCTCAACAGGCCTCAAGAGGTTCCTAGGCGGCGCACAGGAGGCCCCAAGAGGTCGAAATGAGGCCCCCAAAAGGTCCCAAAGAGGGCCCAAGAAGCTCCAAAACGCTCCTCAAGATGCCTCCAAACTGCCTCCAAGAGGCCTCCGAGAGGCCTTCCACAAGAGCCAAAGAACATCCAATAAGCTTCATACCCACAGCCCAGGCACGGTGGCGGGATGGGCCGAGGGCCATTAGATAACAACAAAGCGTGTTTGCTAGCGCGGACCCCAAACATTGCGTCAGTGCATTATTCTGGATGTGTATGCGCATGTAATACAAACGACGTAGCGCAATCTAGGTAAGTGATACAAGATTTGTGGTGCAATGGATGTCGCGCAAACGACGTGGTGCAATCAATTTGATGCAAGCGTGCAAGCGATATGGTGGAAGATGTGTGGAGCCAATGCTTTGTTCCCCGACTTGCAACTGCTAACTCCACCGCTTTTGCCAACGCACCACCCTACCACCCGCAACTTGGTTTGCAAACGCATGCGGCCGCGACTGCGATGACTGATTGGCACTCGCTGGCGCATCTCTGCGGCGGCGCTGGCGCGCGAAAACTCGCGCGAAGAGCGGCCAGCTGAATTGGCACAGCTGATGATGCGGCGACGGCGTTTACCGATAGGATCTTCTACACGCGTCTCAACGGCCGCGCTGGCGCTCGGGCACTTCAGAGCGGGTCGGTGACGATGACGGGCGCAATATCATGATGTCGACAACGGCGGCGACGCTGATGACAATGTGGTGGCGATGATGACGATGACGACGGCGATGCCAATGATGGGTCCGCTGGTGGTGACGACGATGACGATGATGACGTATGGCGGCAATCGCGGCGATTGACGACGCTGATGCTGGCGGTGATGCGATGGCGTTAAGTGGGGGCGATGGTGAAGACCTGTGCGCGCAGAAACTCAAAAAACAAAAAAACATTGCGAATTCGCTGTCGGAGAAAAGCTAGGATTTCTGTGTGGTGTTGAAGAGCTCTGCCTTGAATCGCTTCGAATACCAGTGGTGTTGGAATGAGTTCGACGCGCGCGCGCGTGGACCGCGCGCGCGTGGCCCGCAGCGTATTAGTTTGAGAAAGCTTCGTGGACTAATCCGATGCTGGATCCTCGCGGCTGCACCACTTGCTGCGATGAGAACGCGGCTTGTAAACGTCGTTGTTAATACCAGATAGTTGTCCTGCTATAGCAGAGAAGTGCCCCACTCAGTGGATGGTTTTCGCTGAGGAGATCGACCAGGAGCCCGGGAGCCCAAGAACCCAGAACCCACCGAAATCGGCCGGGAACCAATAACCGGGAACCCGGGAACCCAGTCTGCTACCAAAATCGGCGGGAAACTTTCGCGAAATCTTTCAACTTCCACTAGGACCCCTTCAGTGCAAGCAAAGATTGGGGCATGAATTCAGCAAATCCGCGCGAACCGAACGTCGGCAAGACGGTTGATGAAAACCATGTGCGTGTGTGACGGTTCCATCGTAGAACGCTTGGAACGAATCTGTCTGGTATGACTTCGACGTGCGAGCGCGTGGTTACTTTGTGGCATGTCTTCAGACAAGATGTTTGCCAAATGATATTCCGATGTAAACGACTGCGCACGCATGGTAGTCCTTGGCAGGGATAAGGGGCGTGGGCGATATCGGCCTGGCTGGAATGGTATCACTCCGTGTGTCACATTTAAAGACGCGGCAGAATCAGGTGCAAATTCCCATGCAACAAAAAGGCGATAAGTCCAGGCTCGGGAGGAGGGGGATAGTTTTCTTTTGACAGGAGAATCTCTGTAATACAATATATGTGGTGCCAGGTATGCGTTACATGCTATGTGATGCAACACATGTGATGCAACCTGTGTGTTGCAACCTGTGGTGCGAGGCAGTCATGTGGTGCGAGCTGGGTGGTGCATCTAGCGCACAAGTCGCCCACGGTGCGCATACGGGCGGCCACGGGCGGGAACCAGGCGAAACCTCGGCACACCCACGTGACGTACGGGGCGCCCGCGAGGCGCGCACGGACGGCCATCAAGCGAGCCCCCTCTTAATCCAACCAACATATTTGCGCCTACGACCCTTTGGTGGACAAAGATACCCACAGAAATCGCATGCGACCTAAAGATGCCCACAGAAATCGCATGCGACTCTCTCTCTCTCACACTCCTCCCCCCTCCCAATCGCGCTGTGTTTGTCCACGGGGGAGGCAAAGACTCCCCTCCACATCCCAAGGGGGAAGGCCGGCAGGCCTGCTCTTCCAGCGGAGGGCCTGCCGGGTCACCTTGGCGGTGGCGGACGGCATCACTCCCTTCCAGTGGAACTGCCAGACAGCGACGAGCAGAGCGAGCACGAAGACCTCGAGGCTCAGGCAGTGCAGATGGGGGTCACCATCAAAGGGAGGGGTCGCCAGCTCCTGGTGAGGATCGAGGCTCGAGGTTCAACGAGGATCCTGGACGCTTTGAAGCGTGTCTGGAGGCTTCGGGACTCCTGGGGGTCCCGAGGAAGGAGGCCTGCAAGGCATTTCCAGAAGGTGGCGACCCCCCTCAACACTGCCCACAGGGCAGCCGGACTGGAGGCCCGAAACGACCGAGACCTCTGGGTACCGCGAGAAAAGGACGACTGGCGATTGCTCCGCCAACTCCAGCCTCCAAAAGCTCGTTTCGGGCCCGGCACAATCGAAAACTACCTGGGGAGACGGGGACGAGAGCTTCGGAGCCAACGGACTGAACACATCAAGACGTCGGAAAGCTAGAGAGGTCAGGAGGGGGCTCCTACTGCTCCTTCTCTATCTCCCCGTCCTCCTCGAGTCCCTCCTTCCCCCATGCTCCTCTCCCATCTCGTATTCCTCCTCCTGCTCCGGCGAGGAGTAGCAAGAGGAGGAGCAGAAGGAGCAGGAGAAGAAGGAGCAACACAACAAAACACCAAGTCTCAGCGGATTGGGCTGCCCGAGGTGACCGCCACGGCATAGGGGTGCCCCCAGGTCCCTGCGAGGCACGCCAGCACCGCCAGCGGGGAGATCGCGATGAGTGGCCAACGGGCACATCCCGACCCCCGTCATCGCCGAACCCCTTCTCCGCCATCCCCAACTCTGTCCCCTCATTGTTGCCCTTGCTGTTGTGCGCATTGCCTACTCGAAAATCTCTCTGATTTACACTCTTTGTGTTTCCACGCATGTTGCGCGCACCCCAAGGACGTGCCGGTGGGGCGGGCGGGGCGTGTCGCTCAATACTGCCTGAACCTTGTATGGTCGTGGAGCTGGAAATCAGCAGCAGTTACAAAGACGGAGGGGGGTCAAGTTCAACGTGGAGCTCTCGCCTCAATTCCGCGCACATTCACCTCAAAAGCGCGCAGCTGTTACCAAGATGGAAGAGGGGTCGCCTTAGCGCCGAGCACATGGCCCAAAAGCTTGCAACTCTGACACGGATGGAGGACAGTTTCTGTTCTGAAATGGGGTTGTCGATTTAGCACCGCGCACGTTAGCATTCAAACTTTGCCACAGGTACCCGGATGGAGGACGTTCCTTGTCAACATGGAGCCCTCGCTTGCGACCTCCGGAAAAAGTAAAGGCCAGCAGCTTCAACATGTGTGGCAGCTGCTCAGAAGGAGGGAGGGCCACTTTTCAAAATCGGGCGATCGCTTGAGACATCCTTGATTTTAGTGGTCAAGAGCGCAAGCTTCTGTAACAGGTGCACCGAACGAGGCACACTGAAAGTCGGGGTATCGCTGGACACCCCTCCGTCCGGCGATGAGGGCTTCAAGGTGGGCCCGTCGAATCGTGCCCCCGCCCATCCAGAGGAACGCGCACGTCAGGCGGCAGAGGTTCGCGGGCTCCTCGGGAATCGGCAAGACGAGGGGGTGGAGGAAGAGGGCGAGAAGGGGGAAAGGTACGAGGATGGAGGGTCACGCGATAATCAAGGTTGACGCCTCGAGCTCCATCTCACAATGGGCCTCGCACGCCATAGTTCGTGGGCGAACACACATGTCCGTATCCGCGGCCTCGCGAGCCCCTGGGCCGCGAGGCCGCGGATATGGAGCGTTTACTCGCGGACGTCCATCGCAGAACGCGTCCGTCCGACCGCGTATCCGCGGGATCGCGCCCCGAGCTCCAGACCGTGAGGGCGCGGATGTGGATACGTTCGCCGCTCGTGGCCCATCCCAGCCCAAGCAGGTCGACGGAACAGCGGACACAACTCAAATCTTGACACGTGCAAGGCCACTGCGTTCTCAGCCGTGTGATCTCCGCCGCGAGGCGGGCACGGCGTAAACCGCGTGTGCGCGTGCGTGCGTGCGTGCGTGCGTGCGTGCGTGCGTGCGTGTGTGTGTGTGTGTGCCCCCGGGAGGATCAAAAACAAGACGGCCTCAGCTCGGCTACCCCCTAGGGCCGTACCTATGGATGGATTCCAATACGAATGCAACGCGTCCTTCAAGACTAACTGCAAATAGCAGCTTCAAGACTTCAAGATACCCCCAAGGAACCCTGAGGCGCCGCCCCCGAAAGGCCCCGAAGGCCTCCACGAGACCGCCAAGAAGCGCCCGAGGGGCCCTCAAGAAACCCCGAGAAGCCCCCCCAGATGCCCAGACGAGCCATCCAAGATGCACAACCTGGGAGGTCGGCGGAATGGAGTAAATCACTTGAATAACAGCTGCTACGAAGTCGCACGTGTGCAAACCATAGGCACGTGAACTCGCGTGCGGGACGGGAGCGATGAGAACCGCACGTAGGTCCTGGTCAGCTAAGCGCATTTGCGCTCAGGCGACAGCTTCATCGGCGGACGTCTCTACTCGTGCCTTGAAACGAGCAAGCGAGGGACGCGGCGTATGTGCGCTACGCGCTGCGGTCTGGGTACGACTTCCGCGCGACCCATCGGGGGATGATGTCCCAAAAGTAAAGGACGCGGGAATGTTGTGATATGCCTCCCGTGGAATCCACGCTCCGAATATCATTTCAGACTTTCGCGCACGATGCACACCGCACAGTGGTCGCAAGTCTGGCCACGTTGGCGACGAGAGACCACACTAACAACTGAAGCAATTGGCGAAAGCGTCTCGTGTACCAATGTTGGGTCAAAGCGGGTCTCTTTGCTGTCTGGTTTCCCTGGCATTTGGCACCCTGCGCAAACAATCATGTTGAACTTCACCTTGCTAACCTTCTCCATCCAGGTCAAGCTGGGAACCATCGTTCCATTCGGCACTGATCGTGCAAACACGAATGGTTCTTCGTGAGCCAGTTCGGCCGCGTCCTGTTCGGCCACGTGCCGCTCTTCCAACGACCAGACTCAGACGGTCATTGCCTTGTCTCCATTTGAAGAACCGTTTCTCCCGACGCTGTCAGCGGCACGAGCGTCGCCCGCATCCAAGTGTTTCCTGGGCGAGATACCCAACCCTTCCCCCGACACAGAAAGGTACCTTTGGCGTGGTCACCTCTGGGAACGGGTCGCACACATCAAAGTTGAGTGGCTGTGGCCATGCAGCCATTCCGACAAGGAAAGACATGTTCGGTTGCTGTGGCCAGTGCGAAGCTGTGGACCAACGCAAATGAAACGACTAGGTTATAGGTTCTATGCCTGTCTCCATTGTTGTAGGCGTCTCCATGTTGTGTAGGCTTGGCGCCAACCGAACAATGTCACTGTCAGACGTGTCTAAGCAGGGCAATGCACAAACTTGTAGGGTTATCAAATCTCACATGCATGGACACTTGCCGAAATGCGCCGACCTCTGTCGGCTGTACTACCCTGGCTGCTCCAAGGAATGAAAATGTTAAAAAGAGGGCTTTTCCGTTCGAGCCGGCATCTCCGTCATTCTTTGATCTCCGTCATTTTTTGTACTCGTCGTCTCTGTCCTTCCCTTTCCCTGGGAGACCTCTTCCCCTGGGCTCCAGCCAAGCCGACCTTGAGCAACCTCGTAATTGAGTCGAAGGGAAGCCCCTTCCCTTTCATCCCTCCCCCGCCGGGAGGAGTCAAGGGAACCCCTTCCCTTTCATCCCTCCCCCGCCGGAGGGGGGGGGGTGCGAACCCCCCCCCCACGGTCAGATACCGCCCCCCTGGGAGACCTCTTCCCCTGGGCTCCAGCCAAGCCGACCTTGAGCAACCTCGTAATTGAGTCGAAGGGAAGCCCCTTCCCTTTGATCCCTCCCCCGCCGGGAGGGGAGGGGGGTAGCGACCCCCCCCCCCCCGGGTCAGATACGACGCCCCCCCCTGGGACTCCTCTTCCCCTGGGCTCCAGCCAAGCCGACCTTGAGCAACCTCGTAATTGAGTCGAAGGGAAGCCCCTTCCCTTCATCCCTCCCCCCCGCCGGGAGGGGGGGGGGGGGTGGCGACCCCCCCCGGGTTTGATCGCCCCGCCCCCCACTGGGACTTCCTCTTCCTCCCCTGGGCTCCAGCCAAGCCGACCTTGAGCAACCTCGTAATTGAGTCGAAGGGAAGCCCCTTCCCTTTGATCCCTCCCCCGCCGGGAGGGGAGGGGGGTAGCGACCCCCCCCCCCCCGGGTCAGATACGACGCCCCCCCCTGGGACTCCTCTTCCCCTGGGCTCCAGCCAAGCCGACCTTGAGCAACCTCGTAATTGAGTCGAAGGGAAGCCCCTTCCCTTTGATCCCTCCCCCGCCGGGAGGCGAGGGGGGGGTAGCGGGGGGCGGTAGCGACCCCCCCCCAGGTCAGATACGACGCCCCCCCCCCGTACCGACCTTGAGCAACGTCGTAATTGAGTCGAAGGGAAGCCCCTTCCCTTTCCCTTCCCCGCCGGGGGAGGGAGAGGGGGTCCCGGGGGGGGTCCCGGGGGAGTCCCGGGGAAGTCCCGGGTCAGATACGACGCCTCCCTCCCCCACCTTCTCGTCCTTCTCCCCGTTCCCCCAAACCATCCCACAGCCCGTGCCTCTTGCTGCGCATTGCGAACAGGGTCGGCGGCACCGGCCGTCAGGCCTTCGCAATATCGTTTCGTTGATTCGGCCGAACACGACCTGCATCCTACACCCCCGACCGTCAACATGGATGTCCGCCTTAGCTCGGATGTCCGCCTTAGCTCCGCCACCGATGGGATCACACACCTCCTTCTTATTAAATGTGCCATCCTGGGGCGGGACAGTTGCACAGTGGGGCCAACAGGTGCCCACGTTGGTTCAGGACGCTGTCGGTGAGGCTAGGCCGAGAGGGTGGCGGCAATCATGTATGTAGGGACTGCGGTCCGAAGAACATTCGCCTGGTCCACAGCGATGGCGGCACCCAGGAATACACGTTGTGCAAACCCGGGCGATCGAGCGCCCGCACTTGCAGCAACGAAGATGAGGACATGCCCATTGTGGATGTGTCCATTCCTCCGTTGGGAAAGCAGGCGGCGGGCATGAAGGTAGTTGCCCCCCCCCCCCCCAGGGCCCAAATCTATCCAGATCCGCCGACCGCCGGGGACCCTGAACCTCGATCCCCAACGGCGGTGGACAGATCCCCGCGCAGGAGCGGCAGCAGCGGCCGAGAGAAGCGCGGCAGTTCCTCCAGGAGCACCACGCTGTTCTGCCTGCGCGCCGCCCGCTGCAAAAAAGAAACACATGAAGCAAAACAGCAACCCTCCGCGCCAATTGTGCGAGCCGCCCCGCTTTGGACAGCGAGCCCCGGGGTCCACCGTCCCGTGTCGTGAGTCGGGGCCTCACGCTGACCATCGGGGCGTTCGTCCGCGGGAGAACTGCGCTGCTGCTGCTGCTGTGTTTCATCAGCGCGTCGTCGTCTCCTCTGCCTCCTCCCCCTCCTCCTCCTCCTCTCCTCCCTCCGCCTCCCTCCGCCTCCTCCTCCCAACTCCTCTCGTCCTCCTCCTCCTCCTCCTTCCTCCTCCCGCCTCCTCCTCCACCTCCTCTTCCGTCCGTCCTCCTCCTCTTACCTCCCCTCCTCCATCCGCCTCCTCCTCTCCTCCTCCTCCCTAATCATCACATCATCATCATCATCATCATCATCATCCCATCATCATCATCATCATCATCATCATCATCATCATCATCATCATCATCATCATCATCATC